ATATATATATATATATGCATCCTTAATCTGGGACACTCATGCAATTTATTTGAAACATAGTCAATTCGCAATCATGAGATAACAGGTGATAGAAATAGCTATAAAAAGCATTTTAACCCAACTATTTATTAAGTATTGATGAAGCAGACATTTATGTTAAGCAAAGGAGTGTGGCTCATTCTATAGTACCACACAACTCTTAAGGGGTCTCTTCCCCCGACATTATTCCCTGCTACTATCTCCTCTCCTTCAGAATAAGAAACTCAAACAAGTATTGTATTTCCAGTTCTTTTATGCCTACTTTCCTCTCCCTTGTGAAATTACTAACATGCTAGAGATAGTCAAGTTTACGAGAAGTCTTCAATGTAAGGTGTAAAGATAGATAACATATAAGAAAAATTTGCAAGTCAGATAATTAACTTCCTATAGATATAAACTGTGAACAATAGCCACTAAACAATAATTAACTGTTGCCAAACCATGAGTTTGATATCCTGCAATGGGCATTCAAAATCAAGTTAGGAAGGAAAGCAGGGAAGTCTCTTAATCAGGAAGGATGAACTGCATGAGTGATTTTCACTTCTGTTTTAGAATCATTTGCTTTCTGCACATTAAATTAGAACAGACTTCCTTTCTACATGCATATATACCTGAGAAGGCTATAATGTTGGGAAAGAAAGTGCTGTAAAAAGCAAAATTAATTTCTAAATTTGATTTTTATGTTAATGTAGCTGACAAATATAATATAAGCATGGGAATTTAAGTATGTTGCTTTAAAATTGTAAACAGCTTTTGCAAGAGGAAGGTAGAAATAAGGACAAATGGAACTCCAGTGAATAGCAAGACAACAGTTCAAAGTGAGATCAGCTGTTGGCACAGATGTGAGTAGATAAAACTTTGGGTCTTGAGGGCTTCTACCAGCAGGTGGGTTTGCTTGGCTTCATATAGTAACGAATACAGAAATCTATAAATAGATTTGTTAGCCTATTCTTGCCTTCTTTGAAACTTTACTATGAATTTTCCAATATTCATATATATGTATTCATAAAAACTAGAAAAATCTTTTTTATAGAAATCAAAGTGTTGTTTGCTCTCACTAAAGTTTGTATTATTTAAAATATACTTAGTATTTCAGACCTAGTCACAGTAAGAATTCCTTCTTTCATACATTCAAGCATTTATTCACCTTGGAACACACATCATTAAAACAACTTTCAAGTGATTACAAGCATGTATCAGTTATATTTCAAACATCTCAAAACAAGAGGCTGTCTCAAAATTCCAAGTAAAAGAATCATTCTTGGTAGTACTATTTTACAGGGGGAAATGGCTAGATAATTATTGTTAGATTGGATTTTCTATTGTTTTTTGTTGTTTTTGTTTTGTTTTGGGTTTTGGGGATTTTTGGGGGTTTTTGAGACAGGGTCTCACTATGTAGTTGAGACTGACATGGAACTCACTGTGTAGCCCAGGCTGGTCTCGAACTCACAGCAAGCCCTCCTGCCTCAGCCTGTCAAATGCTGGGATTACAGATGTGCGCCACCACACACGGCTTAGACAGGATTTTTTTTTTAAGGATATCTAGTTAAGGATGATAACTACTCTGAGTTATTAGCGGAATATCTTATTAGTTATTAGTGAAATACCAGTTTCAAGACTAAGTTGGATATAATGGGATATACTTACAATTCCAAAATTCAGGAGTCGGAGGCAAGAGGATCACGAGTTAGCAGCCAACCTATGCTTAACAGTGACTTCAAGGCTGGCTTGGACTATACAGTATCTTAAAAAAAGAAAAAAAAAAAGACCAATAATCAGTTGAGTTGGTTTCTGAGGATAGATCTTAAGTCCATTAGTCATTTAGAAAATTGTTCATGTATGTAACCAAGAGTGATAATTGTTCCTCCAGGAAAAGTAGCCAGTTACGTCAGGCTACAAAGTCCTGCATTAGTTGAGATTTTGGGGCCAGTGTCTTTTTCACATTTATTGTGGCCATCTATGCTGTGCTAAGGAAGTTGAGCTCTACTTTATGGGCAATGGGAAGTTACTAAAGAATTTTAAGCAGGGCTATGTCATGACAAATTTGTTATTTAAAAGGGCATCCTCTCCTATAGGGAGCAGGGAAGAGGACATTATCAGGACTGCTGCCTTGGATCCTGGCCTGTGAACCACCACAGCACAAGGCGAATTTAAGAACAGACAAAAACAAGACTTAAGAGTGGAGAAGCTGAGTCTTGGGTCCTGGTCAGTGCTGGCTGATGGCCACAAAGACAAAGGCCTCCCAGCACATCTAGAATTTATTGATTACAATTGTGGGAAGGAATAGGGAGCCAGGTATGCTTTTTTTTTTTTTGCATCTAGTGAAATACTGCCGAATACCTGGAATGATGGCACCAGGCAGGGCTATCGGGGAATCGGCACGGCTTATCTTGCTAGGATGGAAGAAACCAGTACTGGGACCAGCAGCAATTAGCAAGCAACTCACAAGGTCAGTGACAAGCTACTGTTCAGGGTAAAGGATTTTAGCTGGGGCCATGCTGACCTCAGCTGCTCATAACTCAGCAGAGTCCTGGCACTTCACAGACCAGGACTTAGGCCTCTGTGACAGCCATTAGCAAAGGAGCAATTTTAGCCCAACTCTGCCAACTGACATGCCCGTTTGAGTCACGTGGGGCTTCAGTCTGACTCTTGATATAAACAACATAGCCAAATTATGGAAGGCAAGAAGCACGCACCACTCATAGCCCACTAGTATCGGGCAGGGATGTCTCCTACACTCTCCAGTTCTTAGTACTGGTTGAAGTAAGTCTAAAATCAGGCAGACTAGTTGGAAAAAGACACTGGCAGTCCAGTTTAATTGAATAAGCATCTACTCTAATCTAGATCTTGAACTCAGAGCTGTGGAAAGTTTGTGTCCTAGTTCTTAGCTGAGTGGAGATATAAACACAAAGCTGTCTGCATCATATTTTAGCGGCACAACCATCTCCATTTCTACACGTACTGGATGGAGATGCTAACAGGATCCATCTCATAGTAAGGTTGTGAAGACAGGATTAGTTAATAAATGCAAAGAGCTTAGAACAGCACCTTGCACTTAATAAGAAATCAACAAACGTTAGATATTGTTATTATTACTAAAGATTATCTCATAATGCAATAGTGTGGTAAATGTATGTGCGATGCTTCAGAGCTAAGAGATGGCAAGGGTCTGAGTGAAGGAAGGAATTGAGAAAGTGAAGAGGAGGTGATAGAAGCAAGAAATGATGCACAGGTAGCAGGATCCCAAGGGATTAGTGACCCCGTGAGATGCGGGAGGTGAGGAAACAGAAAGACTCCAATATGACTCCAGGTTTCTAGCTTGGGCAACTAGGTGAAAAGTGCTCCCATCAACCAGAAGAAAAGACAGTTTACGTTCATGCTCTGTCAAACAATTATTCATCAGACATTAGAATTTACGAGATTACCAAGTTAATGCCCCTGGTATAATTTCCAATTAATAGTGGCAAAAATGTTATCCAAATCCAACCAGAGTTGCTATGTAACATCCTGAATTGGAAGCAGACACTACTGTGGCAAGCACATTACAATATTTTTAAATTTAAATTTGAATTGACAAAGATATAAAAACGGTGCGTATTTGTAAAGTATTGTGATGTCCGGATACAATTACATGTGGTGTTATGTTTACATAAGGTAAAACACAGCACGTCTCCTCAGTATTTATTTCTTTAGTGAAAATATTCAAAATCCTTTCTTCTGGTTTTCTCAAATACATAGTACATTACTGTTATCTGTAGTCATGCTATTATGCAATAGCACATCGGAACTTCTTACTCCTATCCTAGTAACCACTGATCAACGCGCTCCCATCCTTCTTGCCTCCCTCCTCTCCACTGGTTTGGGTAACCACCATTCTAGTCTCACCCCCACCTTTGGTACTGGAGATTGAACCCAGGACCTTTACACTGAACTATAACCTTTGCATTGACTTATATCCCCACCCTTTTTTTCACTTTTTATTTTGAGACAGTATCTCCCTAAGTAACCAAGTTGCCCAGGCCAGGCTTGCACTTGTTATTCTGATACCTCATCGTCCCAGAGTGCTAGGATTACAGGGGTATGCCATAATGTCCAGCTTCTACTCTTAACTTCTGTGAAATAAACTATTTTATATTTGGCATATGAGTGAACTTTATAATACTTATCTTTCTGTGCTGGCTTGTCTCACTTAGCATAATGATCTCCAGTTCCTTCCATGTTGCTGCAAATGACAAGATTTCATTCTTTTTGTAGCTGAACAGTATTCCATTGTGTGTTATATAGCACATTTTCTTTATCCATCCATGGATAGATGCTTAGACTATTCCCATTTCTTGGCTGCTATAATAAATATGGGTGTACAGATGTCTCTTCAACATAATGATTTCATTTCCTTTAGATATATACCCAGTAATTGCATTACCATATCATACAGCAGTTCTATTTTTAATTTTTTTAAAATAATCTCCATAACTGTTTTTCCATAATGTTAATAAGCTTTTCATCACTGTGATGAAATACCTAAAATTTATACAGAGGAAAGGTTTATTTTGGAACATGATTTCAGACTTTTCACTATGTGGTCACTAGGCCGCCTTGTCTTTGGGCCTGTCGCAGTACCTCATGGCTCTAGAGTGTACGGTGCAGCAAGATGCTCACCTTATGGTAGCCAGAAAGCAGGTAGGGATGGGTCCTAATAGCCCCCTCAAGAGCATGCCTATAATAATCTCATTTCTTCCAGCTGCAGTAGACCCTATCTCATAAAGACTCCACAAGCCTCCACTAGTGCCACGGGTAGGGACCAGGCCTTTAACAAATGGGCTTTCAGGGGACACTTCAGATTCAAATTATAGTAGGCAATACTAACACACATTCTCACCAACGGTTTGTTAAAAGTTCTTTTTTTCACATCCTTGCCACCACTTAACTCCTGACTTTTTTGATAACAAGTCATTTACAGTGAAACAATATCTCACTGTGGTTTTTTGACTTGCTTTCCCGGATGATTAGTGATGTTGAGCAACTTTTCATATGCCCTTTAGCCATTTGTAAGCTATTTCTCATTCCTTCATCAGGTTTTACTTTTGAGTTTTTCCTTGCATATTCTGGATAGCAACCTCCTGTCAGATGTATTATTTGCAAATATTTCTCCTATTTTGTACGTTTTCTTTTTACTCTGATGACTGATTGTTTTGCTATGTAGAAGATTTTTTTATTTTGGTACAATTCTATTTGTCTATTTTTACTTTTGTTTCTTGTGCTTTTCAAAGCTTATCCAAAAAAATCCTTGCCCATTCCAATGTTCTAAAGCATTTTCCCTGTTTTCTTCTAGTAGTTTAGTTTCCAGTCCCATATTTAAACCTTTTTAATCCTTTTTGGAGATAGTTTTCTTCAGTGGTGGCAAGGAGAGGTTGAATTTCATTCTTCTGCATGTGGATATGCAATTTCCTAGCACCATTCAATGAAAAGATTGTCCTTCCCCTAATTTGTGTTCTCAGAATCTTTGTAGAAAATCAATTGGTCATAGCTTACTTCAAAGCTTTCTATTTTGTTCCATTCATTTAAATATTTATATATCAATATCATACCACTTTGTTATTATAGTTTTGTTGCATATTTGAAGTCAGGCAAGGTGACATCCCTACTTTGCTATTTTTTCTCAAGACTGCTATGGCTATTAAGCATCTTTTGTGGTTCTGTGCAAATTTTAACATTGTTTTCTAGTTCTCTGAAGTATGTCATGGGTATTTTTTTAATTCATTAAATTTATTGGTACATTTTAGGTATACAATATGATGACACTCACTATTGGAAATTTGAATCTTTACATGATGTATCTTGGTTATTTTATTTTTTGCCACTTCCCTGCCCTCTCTTCAACCCCTCCATCCTTCCCTGTTTACGAAGACTTCGTTTCCATTTTTTCCTTTTCTCACATTTTTTCCTTTCCCCTACCTGTTCCATTTCCCCTTCCCCTGCCCCTTCCCCTTTGGACCTTTTCTTCTTTCTATTTCACATTATTATACATTTTGATCCTGACTGTGTTGATTATGAGCTAAACTCATCTAGAAGCCTGAGGCCAAGGGAACCTACTGTGTAGTTCATAAAGATGAGCCTTCAGATGAAGAGTAGGGAAAAAAAAAAGGATGGAGAGTGGACCTGGAGGAGCAAATGGAAGATGGCTAGAATTCAGGTGGATGGGTGGGAGAGGGGGCAAAAGAGGACAAAACTGGGAGAGATAGAATGAACATGGCATTGAATAAATATTTAGATAATAACTTCAATATTGGATAATGTATTAGCTTTCTATTATTGCAAAAAAAACCTGAGATAAACAAATTATAAGGAGGAAATACTTATTTTGACTCATAGTCCATGGTCTGTTGGTGCTATTTCTCTGGGGCCACGGTGGTAAGGTATATCACAACATGAACATGTGGTTGAAGGAGACTATTCACTTCATGGCAGCCAGGAAGCATAGAGAGACACAGAAAGGGGCTGGAATCCTGATACTCCTTTGATGGGCACACACACACAATGACAACTTATTTTCAATACATTCTGCATTCTATCCCAGAAGCACCACAGACTGGCACCAAAGCCTTTGCCATATGGGCCTTTAGGGGACATTTAAGAGATTAAACCATTACAGATAACATGTTGAGTTTTAATTGCCTGCGAGCATCCAAAAAGAGTTATCTGGAAGGTGGCAACATATCTGGGGCTTGAAGGTTAGGAGACAAATCTTTGCTTATGGGTGGCTCAAACAGTGCAAATAGAGTGAGGCTAAAAGAGAATGAGACAGAGTAATGAATAAGAGTAGCAAATTTTACCAATTTCTTTTTTTTACCACTGCAACCTGTGTTACTGAAGGGTCCAGGGAGGGAGAATGGTGGGGGATGAAGAAAAGAAAGACAAAGAGATACAAACCTGGGACCAGGTGGGGCTTTTCTCCCGATGGGAGAGAAAGACTCCCAGGCAACTGCAGCACAGTTATGTATAGTGGTAAAGATAAGAGAACTACAGGGGGAGATAAAAGGGCTGGTCTGGAACTGGAACTGGGACAGTAGTTAGGGTCTACAGATCATCATGCACTGATGGTTTTATGGGGAGTGGACAAGGAGGAAGACACATCCTCTTCTCTGCCAGGTCTTGCTCCACCATGTCCTCTTGTCATCTGTTCTCCTCCCACAAGGCCCTGCCTCCTCTGCTGGAGGAAGTGAGTTAGGCCCAGCCCTAGTGATCTACAATGCAGTGTTCCCAGCACACCACTCACTCACTTTTTCTTTCCTTTTCTTTAAAAATGAGTTAATGGTCATGTTTATTGCCTAACTTAATATGATCTTTTATTACTTTTGTTAAGGAAAATGTTGTTATTTATGTATCTATTTTTAACATTATTTTTTACATACTTATTTGGAGCAAGGTATGCATGAGTGTGTTCTTGAACATATATTTATTATGGACACAATACTTGTGTTTGTTCACTGAAACACAATTATGCTGATTTTAAGCATTACTTTTCTCTTATTTTTTTAGTTTTATTAGTACATGTTTGTAGTACATAATGATTACATTCCTTACGGGGAATTGGTACAACTACATAATACATCTCTACTCCTTTTTTTCCCTTTCCCCTCCACCTCCCCCCATCAGCATCAGCTTCATATATTTATTTTATAAGCCCTTATAAAATTAATTATCATACATACAGATTAACAGCCAGACTAACAGGCCAAAAAACATATAAAGCACATAAAATAAATGCCTATACTAAATCAAGGTACACTTTTAGATACATTGACCATTACAATAACTTTTTCCTATTATCTTTTACTTTGCACTTTATATATTGACTTTCTCATAGAAAATATGCAGTATTTAAGCTTATCTATCTAATTTACTTTACTCAACATTAGAGTCTCAAGATGCATGTTTTGGGGTTTTTTTGTTTTGTTTTTTTGTTTTGAGACAGGGTCTCACTGTGTAGTTAAGGCTGGCCTTGAACTTGCAGCAATTTTCCTGTCTCCACCTCATGAGTTCTGGGATTACAGGTGAGGTGTGCACCACCATACCTGGCTTGCATCTATTTTCCTACAAATGACTCAATCTTACCTCCTTTATTGCAGAGTAATTTCTGCTCTGATCTTTATAATTTCTTTCCTCATACAAGTTTTGGGTTTAATTTGTTCTTCTTTATCTGAAACATTGAGGTTCAATGTTAGGCTATTTACTTGAGCTCACTCTGATTTTTTGATGTGGGAGTTCACTGCTATAAATTCCCCTAGTAAGACTGCTTTCATTGTGTTCCATAAATTCTAATATGTCATATGGGTATTATTTAACTATATAAAATATCTAATTTCATCTGGTGATTATTTTTAAGGGTATTATTTAATTTCTATGTGTTTATGTAGTTTTTGTGGTTTCTCTTGCCATTGATTTCCAGTTTTATTGCATTGTGATATGATAATATGCATGAAATAATTTCAATTACTTTGCATTTACTTAAGTATGTTCTATGAGCTAGTATGTGGTCTCTTTTGGAGAATGTTTAATGTGTGGCTAAGAATACATGTGTCCCATGTATTCTGTTGTTAGGTGGAATACTCTGTAGGCATCTACTAAATTCATTTGTTCAAAGGTTTGGTTCAGCTCTGAAATTGCTGTGTTGAATTTTGGCTAGTTGATCTATTTGTAGCAGTGGACTATTGAGGTACCCCAATAAAATTGTATTAGTGCTTATTTGATTTTTCATATCTATTGTGTTTGTTTTATATAGTTGGATGCACTGGTATTTTGGTGCATATATATTTGTGATTTTTATCTCTTCCTCTTGGACTGTTCCCTTAACAAGTATGTAGTGACCTTCTTTGTCTCTTATTAGCCTTGTCTTTAAATCCAATTTGTCTGCAAATAGAATAGCTACCCTGCTTTTTCCTGAGAACTTATCACATAGAGTATTGCTTTCCATCCTTTTGACTTTCAGTCTATGAATTTCTTTTTTAATTAAATGTGTTTCTTGTACATGGAATATTGTTGGATCTTGTTTCTTAATCTGTTCTGCCAGTCTGTTTTTTTTTTATTGCTAAATTGAGACCACTTACATTGATGGTTAAAACTAATCCTTGCTGCATTATTTTCCTGTTCTTGGCTCCCTTTCCCTTCTGTTTAATGGCTTGCCTTCTCTGGTGGATTCATTCGGTTGGGGTTCATGGAGTTGTAG